AACGAAGCACAGCCACTACAAACATTCTGAACAAAGATGGGTAGTGTTGGGCAGTGGAATCAAGAACGCACATTTCGTCATATTTCGGACTCGTCAACTGGATTTACCTGCATACCGGAGTTGATGTTCATTCTGGGATTCGAACTCAGTAGGGGTGAAATGTGTGTTGTTGATTCAACTACTATTCACTATCCATCTTTGCTTAGAATATCTTTATGTATGTTGATACTATACAATTTACTAACAAAATGCGAAGAAATATTCTTCATTTCTATTTAAAAAAAACAGACAAGCCCTTCTCTAAAACACTTTCGATGTTTATGAAATGAACATAACAACTTTTCATGATAAACAAATGAATAATCGCTTAGTGAAAAGAAACCAATTAATGGAAATAAATACAGATTCCAATTTTGATTATTTTCACTATGATTAAACCTCGGTCACTCAATTCAAATGAAATTGAGTGATGGTTGGTAAATTCATTTATATACTAATGTAAATTAATTCATCAATGAAGCCTATTGCCTTTTATATAATCAGTTGAACAAATTATTAAATTGCCCGTTAATATGACTTATCAAATACAACATGGAAAATAAGATCCCAGTCACACTTGATGGAGAAACTCAGGAAGAGTTGGAATCGTTCACTTATCTTAGGTAGCATCATCGATGAACAAGGAGGATCCGATGCACACCGAAAGTCGAGCTGTGGCAAAGCAAGAGCAACATTCCTACAATTGAAGAATATATAGAACTTACCAAGTGATTTCTGGGGATCTAACAGCCCCAACACATTAAGTAGTTCATCTTTGCAGTTTTATTTCTACTTGATGGTATATTGAAAGATAAGAATTTCTGATAAATTGATAGACATCTAATATAATCAAATATATATATAAATTGAAGAATGGATCTGAACTAATGAATTACCACGTGCGATCGCATTATGTAACTTTGAGTTACATGATTTAAGAATTATCACATGGCAAAGCAAGAGCCTTAATCTTAAAATCAAAGAATATATGAAACTCAAAACAACTGTCTGTCAACCAATATCAAAATCACAATCTTCAATTACAGCATCAAAACTGTCCTACTAGGCAAGAAGCTAAAACTTTGAGAACCACTACAACCATCATCAAGAATTTACAAGTATTTATAAATAGTTATCCCCGCATCATACTCAACATCTAACATTGGCCGGATACCATCAGCATCAGCCTTCTGCAGGAGAGAACAAACCAGATTCCAGCAGAAGAGTAAATTAGGAAAACACGTTAGAAATGGATAGGACATACATTACGGAAATCATCGAACTGCATCACGATGCAAGCTCTCACTTGGAATCGTGAATGGAAGTGGAAAAGAAGAAAATCAAAGAACACATTACGTCGAGAAATAGAAGTAAGTATGTAAAGGATGAATAACAACTGGAAAGAAGTGGAGAGGATTGTTTGGCACAGGGTTGGATGGAGAGTGTTGGTGGTTGGCCTATTCTCCTTCACGAGGAGTAACAGGCGTAATTCGATAAGCAACTAAGTAGACTAATCCACGAAATTGAGCAACACATTCACCATTGTCATCAGTGAGTTACTATCTCAAAACTGACTCGACTGCACTGCCTTTGATAAATTTCAATAATGCAATGAGAAGATGAAAATCAGCAGAACTATGTGATGATACATTTGCGTAGTACATTTCGAACAATTTGATCACATATAATGTACTTGTTAGAACATGTTGTATATGACAATTAAAAGGTCAACTAAACAGGTTAAAGGTAAGCCGTCACAAAGGAAATCAAAATAATAAAGTACACAAAAACAGTATGATAATCACTCTGGATAATCAATTAGTATTACCAGGATAGGTTAAGGGTAAGAACAAATTGTCTTTGAATACATAAAAGAGGTTTCAGTTTTCGCATAGCCAAGGTTTTAATAAACCTTATTATACGCTGTGGGGCCCTTTATTTTGTCATCATTTAAATCAAACGATATTTTCGAAAGGGCTTTTCACTTCAGTGGCCCGAGATCTGACTCCAAAGAAATCGTAATGACGATTGATGTTGAAATATATATATGTCGCCTATCCTCGTTTATAATCGTCGACTTTAATCACGTTAGTCAATAAGGGATTTAGATAAGTCAAATAATGAGAATGGACTTTTGAATACATAGAATTTGGTATGTGAAGCGAATGGAATAGAACAAAGCAAAACGACGCGCAGTGGAGATGGCGGATAAACCAACTCTCATTTAACCAAGCGTTAATCAATAGTTATAGTTACACAAAAGTATGTTACAGATATATAATGAGTAATGTAATAAGAAATGTACACACATATATACTCTCATATAAAAACTGTCAAGATTGATTAGCGAATGAATAACAAGGTCAGAATGTGACTCAAGTAGAATGAATAGAATGGACCATCCGAATGATAGAATAAGGTATATAGGCTTAACATAATAACCAACAGTACAACGCCCTTGAAGACTTTTGTACAACACTAAAAATACTGAATTAATATCAACATTATGACGAGACTCAGTTAAATGTTTCGTGATGGAGGAAGATTTTGTTTTGAAACAAAGTTAAACTCATTAAAAAACATTTTTTTTTTGGTTTTGCAAGTTAAACGAATCAACAATGAAATCAAATTGTCCAGAATCTTTGATTTTAAGACAAAAAGTAAACCTACATTATTTTTTTCTTTTCTCTTTTCTTTTCTTTTTTTGTTGTAGAATGGTTTGAATCTCCTTTCGAAACTGTTAAATGTATGGTGAGAAATAAACAAACAAGATAGACCGAAGACATTAGATTGGTCTGTGAACTTCAGACAGCAATAACATGTATATATATATGACATAAGTTAGTTACCATCATACTTAACAGATATGTTTATTCATTTATTCATTAAATGGTTTTTCATTTTGATCATATGTCATATTGTCAATTCAACATCATTCTGTGGTTCACCTCCTTTAGTGAAATTGGTAGATTCAATATTATTAGAGAATTTGATTGAAATTTTAGGATCATACTGTTGCTGTACATTCGAATGATGTCGAAAGACGGAATACAGCGCCAAAACGTTTGAAGTTTTATCCGTATTTTACTTTCAATTTCCGCAGATTGAAAAATTATGTTAAACTCTTAGTAATTCACATGATTTATGATAAACATTTTTTCTCAGTACAATAACGTTTTTCACTTTTTCTATGAATGATTTAATTGTAACAGTTTTAAGTTTTGATGAATATGATTTTCGTTGAAGTAATGAGTAAGAGGAAGCGGTCATCCAGTACTTCCAGATTCTCCATGATGCTGTATCTTCAAATGACTCATGATCTCAACTATTAAAATTAATATAATATTCACAAAAATCCTTTTTGATGTTAATCGACAGATACTCACTAGTGACTGGCTTCAAGAGGTATTTCCTGGAGTTCTAGTGAGAAGCCGTAATCAGTGGGGTTCCACCAAATCTGTTGGGAGATAGTAACTCACTGATAACAATGGTGGATGGTGGTGCAATTTCGTGGGTTGATTAAAGTAAGTCATTAATATCATTGGATGCCGGCCAGTTCATTGGTGTAGAGATTAAACACTGGCGCGTGTGACCGATAGGACATGGGTTGGAATCTCGTGAGGCGGGATCGTGGATACGCACTGTTGAGGAGTTTTACAATAAGGCGAAACGGCCGTCAGTGCATCTAGGTTTTCTATGATATTCTAGCTTCAATTGACTCATGATCTCAATTATTAAAATTAATAATGTAATACGTTATTTGTGTTATTTTACATTTTTACAGAAATTTGCACAAGTAGCAATAAAGTATTGGGAAGACGTATTGACAGTCAAGAAACCTGGAAGTGGAAAACAACTAGCGAAAAGGTGATTGTACTGTTAGCTTACTTGTTTTTTGATGTGTAATCATTAGCATTCTTGTCATACTCGCCATTCTTATCATTTAAATGTTTGAAGGTATCTTGTTAAGTAACTTAAATAATTCACTATTCTACATTAAAACTTAATAGATGGATTTTTTTTATTCTTAACTCAACAACATTCTTCTTTTGTTTCATCAAGGTATTGTGAAAGCGGATACTATCGCACAGTTACTGCGAATAATTCCATAGTTTGTTATAAGTCGAAGTGTAAACGCGATGTTCTGTGCGGAGGGGTGAAAATCCCAGATCAGTATGTAGGGGTGAGTATGAGTACAGCGTAATATTTTTACTGTTATAAACATAGTAGATATTTAAAATGCAACAATGAGATGTGTATTAGATTTTTAATTCATTTCTTATAAGTGATTGAAGATGTGAAATACAGAATACTCAACAGTGCAAATCTACGATTCCGTTCACGGGATTCGAACCTAGAACCTTCGATCTCGCACAGGAACTCTTATCTTCTAGATCACTGAGCCGCGATAATTATAGAATCAATATTGAAATGTAATCTCTTTAGAAACAAATATAAATTTGCATATTAATATTATCATAATTATAAATACCCTTTCTCAAAATTCGGTGTATGACATTTGTCATACAACGGCTATGATGGCCTGAACAGGAATTAGATAATCCATTAAATTTCAGAAAAACATTGTTTAAGTTATCTCATCATCCTTTAAGATTATGCACATTTATTCAAAGAGAATTGGATGAAAAAACAACTAATCATTTTCAAGAGTTATTCAAGCCCTATATACGTTAAAATGACATTGCTTGAACTAGATGTATTTTAGTAAAACAATGATGTATATTTTGATAGAGGTTTGTTCTCTGAGCTCAATGGTTTAATTATGGGGCTTTCATCGTCCTTCCGAATGACATAATCAGCACAAACTTTTACCAAAACATCCAGCTTAGAGAACAAAACTTCATCAAAATCATCCACCTGAGCTACAAATCTTCTCCATCATCTCAATAGTCTATATTTTATTATTTGTTTTTAGAATATTATGATTCAATTATTCTATCATGATTATCTTTCAGGAATGTTATCAATTAAAAAATAACCGATTACATAGATCTTACAGAAATGGAAGTGGAATACCATCTGACAGTTATGTCCTATTTGTTGACGCTATAAATACAATCACCTGTTATGGTAATGCAGCAGCATATGCATCATCATGTTTAATGGATGAGGAAACAGATAGGTAATTAAATATGTTTGTTAGAGCATATTCTTGTTTTAGATGAAAGAAAAATGACTGAATTGGTTGTTCAAAGACAAGTGTTTTTAACTATGCTACTCTTAAATCAAATGTTTACGATAAAATTGTGAAAGTTAAGGAAATACCTTCTGATTTTATCCATTCAGTAGCTGTTCTTTGAATCTGTTTTGAAATACAAGTTCAAAATAGACATGCATTGTATTTACAGTTACTTAACTGGTAATAAGATATAGCAAAGATGGATGATGGTTAGCAGTGAAATCCAGGATGCGTGTTTCGTCCTATCTAGGGCTCGTCAGTCGGATATACCTGCTTCACTTCGATGATGTTCATTCTGGGACTCAAACCCAGTACTATTCGATTTAAGCGCCATCACGTTATTCACTTAGCTATTGTGTCCAGATAGTTATTAGCTTGTACAATGGGGTGAAGTTTAATTAATCTTTGTATTGGTTGTTCAAATCTTCTCATGGAAATTTAAGACTGTAATTTAATAACTTAAGGCACCATCGAAACAATCTTCACATGATGAACGTATACCAATAAGAGACTGATGAACTGTAGTCCTAAATGTCAACGAGAACACTGAAATAATCAATACACATATGAATAAAATATAACAATTTAACTGACGCTGTCCCAAATTTCTAAACAATAAGTAGCTACACTTTGAATTTGATGCAAATAAGGTAAAGTAAACATCTGGGCAATAAGAAATAGGTTAGATTATTTCCATGAAACTGTCGCACGTGAAATTCGAATTAGTCACTAATAGTAAGTCTGTAAACGTTATTAGCACTTTAAGTTCATTAAATTAAAATCGATAATTAGTACAATTCATTATTTAAACCTTAAATTTAATTTACAAGTGATTTATCTCTGTCCAGCACACATAGATCTTCCTATAGACGTCACTCCACCAACGACCAGGATGATAATCCGAATAATCGAGAGCGGGGAAGCAACAGGACCCGACCATATACCAGCTAAAGCACTGAAGTCAAACATCGAAGTAACTGCAAACATGCTCCACGTTCTATTCAAGAAGATTTGGGAGGAGGAACAAGTGCCGACGGACTGCAAAGAAAGACACCTCATCAATATACCAAAGAAAGGAGGTCTGAGCATATGTGAGAACTACGGAGCCACCACACTACTGTCATTACCAGGAAAAGTTCTCAACAGAGTGTTGCTGAACCGAATAGAAGATTCAGTAGACACCCACTTTTAAAATCAACAGACTGGATTCTGTAAGGATCAATCGTACACAGACCAAATTGCGACACTACGGATTATCGTCAAACAATCATTTGAATGGAACTCATCACTATACATCAACTTCATTGACTATGAGAAGGCGTTTGACACTGTGGATAGGAGAGCATTATGGAGACTTCTTTGACTCTATGGAGTTCATGAGAAGATTATCAACATTATCGGAACTCATACGACGGACTACAGTGCAAAGTCATGCATGGAAGACAGCTGACAAATGCATTCAGTTAAGGACCGGAGTCAGACAATGCTGTCTACTCTCCCTCTTCCTCTTTCTTCTGGTGGTTGACTTGATTATGAAGACTTCACATCTGAGGGGAAGCACGGAATACAATGGACAGCTCAGAATCAATTGAAAAATTTGAACTTCGCAGATGAACTGGCCCTCCCCCACTACACACAAACAAATGCAAATGAAGACAACTAGTGTAGCTGCAGCCTCTGCATCAGTCGGCAAAAACATTCGCAAACCAAAACGCAAGCGCCTTAATCTTAAAGTCAAAGAATATATGCAACTCAAAACAACTGTCTGTCAACCAATATCAAAGTCACAATCTTCAATTACAGCATCAAGACTGTTCTACTGTGCACGAAATTGAAACCTTGAGAACCACTACAACCATCATCAAGAATTTACAAGTATTTATAAATAGTTATCCCCGCATCATACCCAAAATCTAACATTGGCCGGATACCATCAGCATCAGCCTTCTGCAGGAGAGAATAAACCAGATTCCAGCAGAAGAGTAAATTAGGAAAACACGTTAGGAATGGATAGGACATACATTACGGAAATCATCGAACTGCATCACGATGCAAGCTCTCACTTGGAATCGTGAATGGAAGTGGAAAAGAGGAAAATCAAAGAACACATTACGTCGAGAAATAGAAGTAAATATGTAAAGGATGAATAACAACTGGAAAGAAGTGGGAAGGATTGTTTGGGACAGGGTTGGATGGAGAGTGTTGTTGGTTGACCTATTCTCCTCCATGAGGAGTAATGGACGTAATTAAGTAAGTAAATAAATTTTCAACTCTAAAGTAGATAGGGTTGAACTAATGATCTTGTTTCTTTGTAAGTCCAGTAACACGAAACACTCATTGATTAAATTACATAAGATATTATGTCACTAAACCAACTACCCAACTATCTTCATTATCTATTGAACTGAACATTTAATGGAATACTGGATAAATTTAGATTACAAAATGAAATTGTAATGTAACTACTTATTTAATTACTTTAATTGAGAGCAATTCATTCATTGTTTTATATCCATATATTGATACTACTTAATACTTTAGGCCAATTCTTGGATTTGTAAATGTGTGCCCAGGAAAAATGGGAGTTGATTATCCTGAAGATAGAAAATCAATTGGAGTTTTCCTACATGAAATTGGTCATGCACTTGTAAGTTCATCTATTATTTTGATAAGATAAAGAGTATTTTTTTATTCGTTGTGATCACTGAACAGTTATATTGAAATATATCTAGTATTGAGATGGTGAAGAAGCTTTGTAGCTCAAATGTATGATTTTAATGGAGTTTTGTTCTCTGGGATGAATAGTTTGATCGTGAGGCTTTCATTGTTCTTCTAAACGGCATCATCGACACAAACTTCAGGAAGAATTCCACTTATCGTTCAGAAGAACGATGAAAGCGCCACGACCAAAACGATCATGCAGCTCAGAGAACAAAACACTATCAAGAAATATCTAGCAACAACAGATATCTTAATTATAAGCAAAAATGGACAGTGGCTAGCAGTGAAATCCGGGACGCGCGTTTCGTCCTGTTTGGGACTCGTCAGCTGGATGTACCTGCATCTCAGAGTCGATGTTCACTCTGGGACTCGAACTCAGTGCCGTTCGCTTCAAGCGCCATCGCGTTATCCACTTAGCTACTGAGCCCTGATAGTTACTTGCTTGTGCAATGGGGTGAAGTTTAATTTACTTGATATTGTTTTACTTGAATCTTCCCATTGATGCTTTAGGATTGAAATTGATCAGTCACTATCCATCTTTGCTCATAATGCCTGTAAATTAAGGCAATATCGAGGCATACGCACAGTATGCACATATGCCAATAAGAGACTGATCAATTTCAGTCCTAAAACATCAATGGGAAGATTCAAGTAAAACAATATAAAGATATCTTAATGTTTAGTTTTTCTATTATGACCTCCTGATTACCTCAAACCATCGACCAGTGACCACGCTGATAACTAACCGATTAAACTTGATCAACACTAAGGGCTACGTAAACATGACCTAAGTTACCTATTAAGTTTATATTTGAATTCATGAGTCAGTTGAAGGTAGATCACGGTAGAAAACCTAGAAGCACTGTACAGATGAGAAGTCTCATACCAGAACATACTAGCATCTTAGTAAAATCTGAGAATCATACAGTAATTGCTTCATTTGCAAGATGTCAGTCAGTTCTTTCTTTATAGTGTTCAGCTATTTATCTGAAACTACTGTTAATATTGTTGACATGCTAGTTTTGTAAATATGAACAAGTATATACAAGCTCATATATAACATTCCGATTTTGTATGGTCACTACTTAGCACTTTTAAAATTTATTATATTTTAGGGATTTTCATCATACAACTTCGCTTTTATGCGCTTTCCGGATGGGACACCTCGAACTCCCAGGGACGATAAACATAAGCCAAAGCACAAAGATAAATATGGACATTATATTCCGAGGTGAGAATTTCATGTTTCTATATATTCAACTAACAGAAACTTAGGAAACCTTTAATATATAAGCATAGGGTTGTGGAGATTATTAGGTTTTTGATTAAGATCATGAATTGATTGATGTCAGACTACCATTGAAAACCTAGAATCACTGGTCGGCCACTTCATTCGATTGTGGGACTCACAATAGAACGAAGTGGCCGTACACATCCATGCAGTGCTTCCAAGTTTTCAATGGTGGTCTAACATCAATCAGTTCATGATCTCAATTAAAAAATCTTAATAATCTCCACAATCCTATACTGATAATTACCATGTACTCACTAGTGATTAGATTCGTGTGGGAATTCTCGAAGTTCGGGTGAGAAGCTGTGACCAGTGGAGTTATTCCGTGTTGAGTAAAGACAGGTGTCTACCTCGGTACAATGAAAGATGGTCGCGCCGTTTCGTGGATTGGTTGAAGTTAGACATTGACACCACCGGGTGTCGGCTCGGTGATTTATAGGTTAAGTGTTCGCGCGCAGGACGATTACCCCAGGTTGGAACCCCGAGAGCGGGATCATGGATACGCACAGCCGAGGAGTCCCATAATAGAACGAAATGGCCGTCTAGTTCTTCCAGGTTTTCAATGGTGATCTAACATTAACCAGTTCATGATCTCAATCAAAACTCTAATAAAGAAGTAGTCTAATTTTACAGAAATGTAGTATTTGTTATTGTATTACGATGTTTTATATATAAAGGTATGAAAGTTGATCTATTAAAACAGTTACATATTCAATTTTATACAAATTTCATTGGATATCATTTTCTAAAATTTACCTCTGTCATTGTCTAAAACCATGTTTAGAATTTAAAAAGTCACTTCTCACAAATTGCCATGAACATTATGTCCTATCAACAGTGTTTTCAGCATCATTATATGACTGGAATTCACTATTAGGTTTGAAACAAAAGAGCAGACTTCTGACTCAGATACATATTGTTATTGCAATGATAATTGCATTTAGATGAATGAACAATACTGTGCAAGTAATCATTGACAGATAGGCTAATCCTAACCATGTGAACACATAATTTAGATCTGTAACTGATATATCTCGGTGTCAAAAAAAGATCAAAACTCTAAACCCAAAGTTATTTTTTATTTGCATATGATTGATTTACTTGTGTAATGATATTATGAGTAGTAGAAGCTATGTACTGATCTTTAAAGGTAGGTTTCACACATCATATGTTATGTATAATTAGTCTCGAAAATGCCCTGGCACGACCGAGTGTGAGGAGAGTCAATTCTCCCTCTCCAAATGCTGTCACATAGCCACGTGTATATACAGCCCCTGACAGGGAAGTTCTACTCACTGCCTTCTCGCAACACGGATGTTGTTTAAGAAATTGAGAGGACGATAAGCAAATGTTCGGCGCTTTATTCGGGTTGGTGGACACAAAGGTTTCACCTAGAGGAGTTGGGAAACCCTGATTCCAAACCAATAGTGCACACGAACTTCATGATCCTAATGGAACAAATGGCGTATGAACCAATTATCGGTCACAAGCTACTATGGAACTGCATCTCCTGACATTGCTCCACTACCTTGTGGATCAAACCTTTATATTGAAGTCTCCAGTTGTGGACTCGTAAGAAAACCATCTGCTTCGGTTTTGGCACCCGGGCAGTATCACAGCCCTTACATAAATCGAATGATTTATGTGGCGCATATGTATATGGTGCTTCCTTGTACCAATATTTATGTGTTCCAATAAATAAATAAACAATTAGTCAAGATGATGATCATAATTTTTTATATACAGTTCACTATGCAAATCTATTTGAATAATTTTCGAAAACTACTGTTGTGTTTAGCGTTATCACAAGGCTTTCTTTGGAGGGAGGATTTTTTTAAAAAATGTATATGCTTATAATGCAAGTTTTTAATAATTTAAACATCTTTTTCACAGTAACAACACTGTCAAAAAGATCACAAGAACATGGAGAAGTACAGCAGGATTGTTTACTAAAGACTTTTATGCTTTCGTTACTCCTAAAATTCTGGTTAGTTGATTCTTTTATACAATTCATATCATTTTATAATGAAAAAAAATGTTAGATAGAAATTCATTAATTTACCTTGAACAAAAAGAAATTTTTCTCATCGGACTGATGTACACTATCTTAACTGATAGGTCCTGGGTTGGAATCTCGTGAAGCGGGGTGGTGGATGAGCACCGCTGAGGAGTCCTACTGTAGGACGAAACGGCCGTCCACTGCTTCAAGATTTTCCATGGTGGTCCAACTTCAATTGACTCATAATCTCAACCACTGAAATTATATTATCTTTCTGAATGAAAGCCCTTAAACTAGTCATATATGGATTATCAGGAAGGGGTTTGTGGATATTATAGTAATTTAATAGTTGAGTTCATGAGTCAATTAAAGCTAAACCAACATTGAAAACGTGGAAGCACTAGAGAGCCAACTCGTCTCATTTTGGGACTCCTCAACAGTGCGTATCTACGTTTAATTTGTGTCTACTTGTATGTAACCATATGTTAAGAAGAAACAAGTGTTTTGTGTTTCTTGGCGTTGGTTGGTTATTAGTGAAAGTGTCCAAGTCTTTTAGGGTAAAGAATTTATTGTTATATAGTGTGTGAAGCAAAAGACTGACTTTATTGTATTTAATTATTAAGAAATAGAACAAAAAAATTTATTATCAGTATGGAGTTGTGGAAGTTATTAAGTTTTTTCTCATTGAGATCAGTGGTCTAGAGGTTAAATGTTCGCTCATGAAATCGAAGGTTCTGGGTTCGACTCCACGAGCATGATCGTGGATGAACATTGTTGAGTCCCACAATAGGATAAAATGGCCATCTAGTGCTTCCAGGTTTTCAATAGAAGTCTAACATCAATCTATTTATGATGTAAATCAAAAACAAAATTATTCTGGGTTTCTCTTCCCTTAATTAAAAACAATAATCAAAATATACATACTTACATTATTTAGAACGCTGCAAGAAAACATTTCAATTGTGAACAGTTAGATGGAGCAGATTTAGAAAATCAATACCAAACTGGACTGATAGGATCACATTGGGAGAGAAGAACATATTCAGTGAGTTTACTTGAGTGTTAATATGAATTCTATACATTCTTTAATTGTGTGATAAAGAACTGTCAAAATAATATACTTTGCTATTTCTGACATTATTTACATTGAATTAAGAGTATTAAGGAATTAAATAGCAAATAAAGCCAACAGGTTAAACAATTACCGTGATATTAGACTCTTGTCAAGAGTGACAGTTATTTGTGATGTTGTGATGCACGTTTTGTCCTATTTGAGACTAGTCAGCTAGATGTACCTGAATCTCAGAGTTGATGTTTTTCCCAGCTGAAGAATCCTAAATAGAACGAAATGCGGGTCTTGTATCCAGTTGCAATCATCATTAATTACTCATATGAACAAAGTATCACATTTCAGTACAGTAAGCAGAGCCTTTCCATTTATTATTAGTAGTAGGGTACGTGCCTAAAGAAATACTCTTTGTTGATGATAGTTTAGTTAAGGTTAGAACGTAAATATTATTTAGAATAATATAGCATAAAAAACCGTATTCTTGTATAACCATAAATGTTATTTGCTTCATTGTTTATGTAGTGTATTATCATCTTGGATTTCAGAGCGAAATAATGGCTGCAATAATAGACGTTGATTACTCTGTATCGCGTGTTA